AAAGTAAGGAAGTTTGGAAGGCGCATGGACGCGCTGTGTGTCGTGTTCCATTCCGTCTTGCAATGCCGGTGAACCCTTTTTCTTGTTGCTTTCGTTTCACTCTTTATTTTTTCTCTGTTTCTCTTTTTCTTATTGTAATTTTGAGAGAGGACGGAGTATTAAAGTTGCGGATTAAAACCACTGTCGCTCTTTTTCCGTTAACTGTGCTTTTGGCTAACTGCTTTGCTAATTTGAATTCCTTGTAAAGAACACTGTGCTCTACATGTTCAAAAAATTTATTAGTCCACAAAAAATCTGTTTGGTAATGTTCTGCACACGACGTCAGCAGTACCAGTTTTTAAAGTTATTGGTCGTAGGTGAAAGTACTTTACAACCGCTAGACTGCTTAAATCACTCAGGCCACGTAACTGCCATGGACGGAGGGTATCCAGCGCTATTTCAGCTACGTATCTGGCTTCAGTCGCTTCCTTTAATTTGGTTCTTTGGCAGGGCTGAATTTAGCATTTCCGCTGATTCATTTAGCCTTCGTTGTTCTTATTGTTTGCCGCCTCATTTACGTTTCTTTGGGTTACTCTCTCTTAGCAGGCCCGGTTGCCCTCGATTTAGATCACCGCAGGGACGTTCCTTCTGTCTTCCCAATAGCCTTTACTTCCTGCGCTTCGCCTCAATGGCGTACACGCACTCTTACCTTCACAATGTTGTTGTGGGGAGTACCCTACGACCACAACCCAGATCAGTTTTGGTAAGTGAGTTAACAACTCCCTATTAGAGAAGCTTGTCTAAGTTGTTAGGTTTGGGCTAACAGTATAGTCAGGAAATGGAAGACCAGTGGTAGGATACATTATACTGTGTGCACCCAGGGGATCTGTCATGCTATTTTTCCACACCCTTCAGTTTTCTTGAAATAAAATGTTTTGTAGACTTCATCCTTGCTCTTTAGCTTCTAACCGCCACAAAACCTCAGTGTTCTTGAGAATGACTTCCACCAAAGTTTTCAATTCATGTTTTTTCAATATTACACGTAATGCTCACTACGACGTCTGTACTTTGATGCTGCAGAAGCACTGCGGTGTTGTAAAAGTCGTTGTAAAGGTATAACGCAACCGGTAATGGCGAACCCTAAATAATGTTATTTTTATAATGCACTTGTGGTGACTGCAATGAGATTTTTAAAGCGGTTCAGGCTGGTTGGACTACAACGCGTTTATTAAAAATTCAACGACTTGTCGCGCCTCATTGAATGCTATACAATTTACCGTCATTTCCATACAAACACGGTACTGGAAAAATTCTTGTTACTACTGCATTATCCACTGCATTAGTGCGCCGTTGACTAAAAATGTCCAATGTATCCTTCTATACCCTCTTTAAAACAAATAACAAAACAAAAATACTGGAAGAGGGCTATGTTTTAAAAGCGTTCCCATTTTTAGAAAATCGGAATTTTTCTAATAATGGGCACGCTGGAAAATATGACTGCTGTGACGAAGGGATCTGTTAAAGCTTGAAGCGTCATAACATTTGCTTAAGGCATGTCTTGGATTCTCTTTGTCTGGTCTTCCAGCTGCTTGGCGATTTCTGGTGGAAGATCAGTTCCAACCTACAATAAACGCAAATATTAACTCAAACTATTATCTCAAAAGAAGTTTAACCTCCCACACGCTGCAAAACGAGTGTGGAAATTGCAACACTATAACACTGACCTGTTTATCAAAGAATTGCTTCGTTTCAACCATGTCTTCTAACCAGTAATCTTTCGGCAACGACATCAGCTCGTCCCAGTTAACGTCCAAACCTTCCAGATTGATGCTGCCTAAAAACCTACATTTCATTAAGGGGAAATGTTCCCGTCTACATACTGGTAGATGTAAAACGGAGAGCCTGAAAGGAAAGCGCTCTGCGCCCGATGAAATCAGACTGAAGGTAACCTTTCTTGGGGAGGTATCCGATAGCACTTTTTTCGGCAATGTCTTCCCGTCCGTCACATCTTTTAAGGATCCAGTCCAGTACACGAATGTTTTCTCCGTACCCTGGCCACAAGAACTTTTTGTCTGCGTTAACGCGGAACCAGTTCACGTGGAAGATCTTGGGGACCTTTAAACGATTTTTTTGAAACTTTGAACATTTCACAAAAACCGCTGTTTAAGTGAGTAAAAATAGGCAGACCTTGTGTGGTGGCTGGCCAAGCTTCATCCAATGTCGCATGTACCTGCCAAAGTTGTAGCCCATGAAGGGTCTCATGGCCATTGGGTCATGCATAACAACTTTGCCTGTATCAGATTTTGTTGATTTAGTTGTAGCATTATACTTAAAA